CAGCCGCTGCTGAAACTGATCAGTGATCAGTTTCAGCAGCGGCTGACGCCAGTTCTGACTTACATACAGATTCAACTTAAGAACAAACCTAGAGTCCCTATCTTGTACGTAACCCGGGGACTGCCTGTACTTACGATTTGACCTGTCTCATAGCACAAAACAAGACCTGCTTAACTGGGTACCCCATGTGCTACCCTAGGCCTCTGCCATCGGTGATAGACAATCTGTTTTAATCATGTTTTGTGTGGGTTAGGGATGTTAAATGTAGTTTAATCAACTAGTCGATGGACTTTCCATGGAGTAGTCGACCAGTGGGGGAGCCGCAGCGGGGTTATCTCCTGGGACCTATGAATCAGCTGATTCCCGGCTCACGCCCAGTCTCAGACACTGCGCTTCTGCTTTTTAAATGTATTAAGAGCCTGCCGGCAGAAGCGCAGTGGGGGGAACCCGGTGTGAGCCAGGAATCAGCTGCCCCAGCTCACACCGGGTTCCCTTGCTGTGCACCAGCCTTTTAAATGTATTAAGAGCCGGTCTGCCCGTAATACATTTAAAAAGCTGAAGTGCAGCTGATTCCCGGCTCATGTTGGGTGTCTCTCCCTCTCCCCCCCAGCTGCGCTTCTGCTTTTTAAATGTATTAAGAACTATCAGGCTCTTAATACGTTTTAAAAAGCAGCGGCGCAGCGTCTGAGACTGGGTGCGTGCCAGGAATCAGCTGATTCCCGGCTTGTGCCTGGTCCCTGCTCCCCTTTTACGTCCCCTGCCCCTTGCGGAGATGGTGCTGGGGGAATCGGCTTTTAAGCCAGTTCCCCCAGCACTGGTGGCTTCTCTCCCCTCTCTTCCCCCCCCTCCCCGCTGCCTCTAACAGAGGCAGCAAGGAGAAGGGGAGGCAACTTGTTGAGGGACTAGGGAGGTTGTGGAATCTCTATCTCTGGAAATATTTAAGAGCAGGTTAGATAAATGTCTATCAGGGATGGTCTAGACCAGTGTTTCTCAACTTTTTTTGCTCATGGCCCCCTTCTGAGCCTCGTTTACCTCTGTGGCCCCCCTCATAGCCTCTGTTAGTTGGAAAAAAAAAAGGTACATAATTTACCTAATGTTCCGTTTTTTCCATGTGGCCCCCTAGAGGTAGGGTGTGAGCCCTGGGGAGCCATATGGCCCATGGTTGAGAACCACTGGTCTAGACAGTACTGGGTCTGCCATGAGGGCAGGGGACTGGACTCGATGACCTCTCAAGGTCCCTTCCAGTCCTAGTATTCTATGACTACTCACTTACAATCCCGAATGTGGATTCCAATCATGTTCGGAGCCAACCATGCCAGACAATACTTTCAAATGTGTTTAAAAATTATAGTGAAAACAGGCCCATTGGAATGGACTTTTTCTTTTCAAAGACACTGCCATTTATTAAAAGTGAAACATTTGAATGGAATTCCCTTGATTTTGGTCAGGGGTTTTGTTGCTTCCGGCTCCTAAACTGTATATTTGTTCGCACTTCCTTGGCCCTATTCTTTCTCGCTTTCTCAGACTTCCCTCTAACAGCAAATTCTTTGAATACCAAAACCCTCTTATAAAAAAGGCAAAATGCATGTTGTTTACTATTCATTTTTGTAATTAATTGCTGCTAAGACTGAGTTGAACATGAGGTGTCAGTTACTTGAAAGAATGTTAAAAAATCCATATTGGTTTGAAGTCCAAAGCTGTCAGAGGCTGGGCCTATCATAGCTGACTAAAATGTGACAAAGGAGTATAATTATTGCCTCCAAATCCTGATTTTTTTTCCTTCCAGAAAGAGTACAGGCAGTCCCCGACTTACGCGGATCCGACTTATGTGAGATCCGCACTTACGAACAGGGCTTTTCTCGCCCCGGAGCTCACAGACGGCGGGACTGCCCAGAGCGCAGCGGTCCCGCCACCGCGTCCTCCGGGGTGAGAAAAGCTGCTCTGGGTCTCCCTGGTGTGCTGGGGGGGACTCCCCAGCACAGCAGGGAGACCCGAGCAAAGCCGCACAGGCGGCGGGACCCCGCTGCCCGTGCGGCTTTGCTCCTTTGCCCCGGAGCAAAGCCGCACAGGCGGCGGGACCTCTGCGCCTCCATGGCTTTGCTCGGGTCTCCCCGGGCTGCTGGGGGGGTAGGGGT